ATCTAAGCAGACTCTCAAATACTGCACAATTCTTAATTTTCCTCCGCCCATCCCAATACCTGAGGAAAGGATGGAGAGGAACTTTCTCAGCTATAGTGTTGTGAAATAGCCTCACCCAACATCCAGGTTGCTATTTCTTTGTTGATGTTTTCCTTGACTTTAAGTATAGTTGCCCGTGTGATTTTTAGAATGATACTTTTCAACCGGCTTTTAACTGTGTTATAAGAGCGTGATGGCACAGCGGTTAGAATGCAGCTTTGCAGGTTAATTCTGCTGACTGCCAGTAGTTCAGCAGTTTGGGTCTCATCAGCTCAAGGCTGACTCAACCTTCCATCCTTTCCATTCTTTGGTAAAATGAGGACCCAGATTGTTCAGGGCAATATGCTGACCCTGTAAACTGTTTTTAGAGTGCTGTAAAGCACTGAGAAGTGGTATATAAGTCTAAGTGCTATTGCTATATCTTTCCCAAGCAAGCTTCTAGTTCTCATGGAAACAGAATGTAGATAGAATTTCTTCTTAAGAAAAAATTAGCCTGTTTCATACCTCCTGCTATTCCAGCTTAATTTTATTTATTTATTCATTTATTTATTTAGACACTTATAGGGCGCCTCTTTTGTACATGATAAATCTAGGCAGCTCACAGTATTAAGTACAAACAGAATAAATACAACAGACTCAACTCCAAGACAACACCATATATTCCAACCACAAGGTTGCAACATCCAATAAATTCTGTATTGATACTTGCATTTACTGGAATAATACACTGCAGTAACAAAAAATGTTAAAGGCATTTTCAGTTAAGAATTTTTGAAAGTCTATTTAATTATGATCCGCAATTTGCTTCTTGGGCAGCCATACCTCAATATAATCTCCTTGAATCAATAGTATGAGCAGCTCAGAATCACACTAACTGCAGCAAAAATCACAATTTTATAAAGCTGAAGTTCCCACCTAGTTTCTGAAGGAAATACTTTGTATCACACAAACCATCTCACCAGAAGAGACTACAAGGCTTCGTGACACCACAAACGTCTTCCCCATTGCCCTCACCAGCTATAGCAGGCTTGTAGTAGACCACTTTGGTCTAGTGGTTAAGGCACCAGAGTAGAAAGCAGGAGATCATGAGTCCAAGTCTCCCATCTTAGCCATCAAAGCCAACTGGGTAACCTTGGGCCAACAGCACTCTTTCAGCCCAACTCACCTCACAGAATTATTGTTGTGAGGAAAATATGAGCAGGAAGGTACTTGAATTATTTGTAAAAAATAGCAAAGGAGGAATATAAATAACAATTTGTTCCAGCCTATTAATGCTTGAGATATGTGTTCTGTGCATGAACTGTGCTTTACTTATTTCTTAATTAATTAGTTCCGTTAATTGAGAGTTTCACTATTAGTTCAGAATCTCTTCTCAGAGGACTAGACAAAACAAGCTTGTTAACTGGGTTTAGGTTTTCCCACATGACTCATTGGGTAGAAGTTAGCTAAACTTTCTGCATGATTGGATCTGTTTGGATTTAATTTAATCTCCTTTTTCATGTTTCCCTAACATATTACTTCTCCCACGCTAACCCACTTAAGTGTGATTTGGGAATAGAGCCATGTACACTCAGAACTCTCCTGCTTATACATCCCAAATCACCTGCACACTTCTATAAACATAATAAAATTTCAAGTTCAAAGATACTTATTTCCTAGACATGGGATGCCACAGCCAAAAATTAATTTGTACTTCCTCTATAAAAATAAGTGGTATTTTTACCCTCTCCAGCAGTAGAATTTTCTCATGGTCTCTCCTGAAGCACTAGCCTGCTATGATCCTGCTTAAATTCATTATCAGCTAAGGCCAAATAAATATAGTTCCTGAATCTTATCAGAACCTTTGCCTCCACTGCATCCTACAGCATTGCTGCAAAAGAATGCAATCTTTTACAAAGCTACGAATAGCAAGTTGGATGAGCTCTTGAGCAACTAACCCTTGTTTGATCATTCCCAGGCCATTTAAATTTTATCACATGCCTGAATCAAACAGGTTGCAAAACAGTGACTGGTTTGTCAAGGTGGCATCAAAACCAGTGTTATCACTGGTGTGACAACAATATTAGAGGGAGAGCAGCTCCATAACCACTTCTCACTGTTCAGAATAACACCATATGTATTTACACATAAATATAATGGCCTCCAAAGCCAACAATAATTAAAAATAGGAGATTGCACACAGTTGAATAAGAGACCTTTAAAACACAGGGGGGAAGATAGAAATAACTACAGCAGGAGTGTCAAACTCCCGGCCCACAGGCCAGATATATCACATGCTGACCACGCCCACCCCAGGTTAGCAAAGAGGGGAAAGTCATGATACATCATGTGACGATGTGACTCCGTGAGTTTGACACCACTGAACTACAGTACTCAAAGTCACATGATGCAGAAAATGGTAATATCCTAGCTAGGCTTTTATTTTTGTGTATTTTACATTTCTTATCTTTTAAAATTGTTTCTATTCCACCCTTCTTGTGTTGGTCTGTGACCATAATAAATGTGATTGATTTAATATGGAAACTAGCTGTTAAAAAGTTGTCAGGGCAACAATAGTTGTAAAGTGCCACAATTAGAACACCACTAGTTACAACGGTTTATTTAGTGACCATTTGAAGTTACAATGGCAGTGAAAAAAGTGACTTATGGCCTTTTTCACACATACGACCATTGCAACATCCCCTTTTGCAACCTTCTGACAAGCAAAGTCACATGGAAAACCAGATCCATTGAACAACCAGGTTGCTAACTTAATTGCAGTGATTCACTTAAAAACTGTGGCAAGAAAGGTGGATTACCTGCATAAGAAAAGTCCTATCTTTTGCTCTACTAAAAGAACAGCCTGTCCAACTGTTAAACTCAAGAGTCAAGCTAAATGAAAAGCGAAGGATATTTTCTTTTATGCCAAGTTAAAAAAATATTTTGGGCTGCTTTTATATGGGACTTAAACATCTGGCAGTAGATTTTTTTTTAAGTCAATCTTCCTACACTTGTTCTCCTCACATTCACCAGACTTCCACTCCTTTTATCTCCCAGACAGCACAACCATAGGTCAATCTTTTTCAAACCTTTCTATTTTAGTTTTCAGAAGTCTTAGTAATTGCCATGCAACTCAGGGAATTCTGGAGCTGAAGTTCATATATCTGGAAGTTGTTCAATTTGAGGAAGGCTGACACAAATTATAGCGATTCAATCTAGTTCAATACATCTGGGAGCACCTGGTTGTGAAGACTGTGTTATGAAGTTTCTCTGCCCCTTTTTGCATGAAAAAAATGAAAAATATCTTTAGTGCATCCTTCTAAGCACTGCAGTTTCACATTAAAAGGTTCATGAGCAGATGTCTATTTGACTCGGACACTTCGACTTAGGTGTGTTGCTGACTCATTGATAAACCACACATATATTGATTCCTCTGTGTGTGTGTGTGTGTGTGTGTGAGTGAAACCAGCAGATGTGGTTAGTTTGTGCTGTTACACAAACCCAGCACTTAAGCAATAATTAAGTAAACTGCGGCTCAATTGCTTAAGTGCTGGGTTTGCGTGACAGCACAAAATCTGAAGCTTGGATAAAACGCATAAAGGGGAAGGGTGAGAAATGGCACTGCACACACACTTATTCCCAAAAGGGTGTTGCATGTGTGAGAATAAGGTCTCTGTGCTTGGGGGGGTGGGGGGAACCAAGAGCGTGAGGAAGAATTGTGAGCATGGAGCTGATGTTCATTAAAAATGATTGGTGGGGTGCGGGTGGAATGACATTTCTTATCAAAAACGTATGCTTCTCTGGCATCTGCTGGCTGGGGAAATCAGGCTCCACCGTTTAGCATCACCCCCGGGCGTTGTCCTTCAAACAAGAAGTAGCAACCGGAGAAGCCCGTCGAGAGGATTCTCACACTTGAGGCAGGAACTCGGCGGTCCTTTCAGAAAGGGAGGGAAACCTGGTAACCGCAACATAAGTTGCGCTTCGCGAGGAAAAAAAAAACAAAAAACGAGGCGGCGAAACACTGACCTTCGATCCAGAGATTTCTGACAACAAAGCCCACAGGCTCCCAGGAAAGTGGGGGGAGGGGAGAAGGGGAAAAAAAAAGCGCTTCTTCGCCGACCACAATTTCCCGCGCTTCAGTGATGGGTTTCAAACCCTCCCCTCCTCCACTCACACCTATTCTTCCCCGGCTGCCTTAACGAAGCGCACAAACCACCTTTTCCAAGGTAATCCGCAGCTCGCGCTCTTGATCCGTTGCATCACCAAGCCGGTAACCAAGCCAAGCCAACGCGAAAGGGGCGGGGGCTATGTGAGAATCGGACTGCCTCGCTTGGCCCAAGCCACTTTCGGCCACCCTATCTTCGTTGCTTGCCTGCGTTTTGCAGACGGCATCCTAAGACTGGAGCTTCCTCCCGGTTGTCAGTTAGGATTGCGGCAAAAAAATAAACTTGTTTGTTTTGCAGGAGTAGCTGTTGTAGGATTCGAGCTGCTCGGAAGTTAAAACGCCGTCTGCAAAACGCGATTCTTGGGCGCATTTCTCTCAGCGAAAGCCCTACTTCCCCCCCCCCCACCCCAAAAAGGGGGGAGCGGACGCCAGGCGCCCTCGGAAGATCGCAACCCGGCGTTTGGTTGTTGTTTTTTCCCTTCATTCCCACGCGGCTCCAGGAGACTTACTCTGAAGTAGGTCTGCACCAGATGCCTCTTGAGGATTAAAGCAGACCTCGTGAGGAAGAGGCGCGTACTTAACACACAAACGCGGTCGGCAACGTGGAAAGAGCCGCGTGGCTTTTAGGAACTCGCTGCTCCTGCGGGTTTAATCTTTTTCCAACTCCCGCTGTCTCTTCCCCGAGGCATTGAGGACAAATTAGCCGCAGGAGCTAAATCGAGAATAGAAAGCCCAGCGCTTTAAGCTGGGAGAAAGGAGGCAGAGAGAGAGGGGGGGGGGGGGGGGGGCGGGGGGGGGGGAGGGAGGAGAGACTCACCGCAATCTCTCCGGCGGCTGCTAGGTATCATCAGCGAGTGAGAAACTCCCGCCGGATTTCAAGCTCTCTTTGCTCGCGAAGTTTTCTCAGCGGCCTTTTCCCAACAAAACAAAACAAAACGGGTCCCTTGTTAATTTCCCCCCACGGTTTGTCCTTTCGAAAACGCGGGCTGCCCAATACCTGGGAAACCTTATTAGGAAATGTTTGTCGGAGTTTCGAGCCCAGGCGGGAAGCCGGACTTTGAGCTAGGGCATGTGGTAAAGGCGGCCCGGGAAAGGTGGGTGGGGGGCGGTTTGAAGCAGGCAGCCGCCTCCGGAGCGGACCTCTTGCAGTTTTGACAACAAACGCTGGTGACCTGCGGCCAGCCAGAAGGAAAGAGTCAGCCTCCTCGAGGCGGGAACGGATGGGTTGGCTGCGCCGACAGGGGAGGGTGACCGGTGTGGTGGCCTGGGGGACGGAGGAAGAGAGGGAAGGCAACAGCTACGGTCGCTGCGATAAACAATGATCCCCAATTCTACAACTGTCAGGGGGGTCGCTTCAGACGTTGAAGATCTCGGAGTCTTTGGGATCCCTGGGCTAACCAGGTTATGTCCCCAAGGTGACATAATTTTTCTGGAGGCAACTGGATTTTGGTTTTTTTCTTTGAAGACGTTTCACTTCTCATCCAAAAAGCTTCTTCAGCTCTGACTGGATAGTGGGGAATGGAAGATCCTTTCATTACCCACTATCCTGTCAGAGCTGAAGAAGCTTCTTAGATGAGAAGCGAAACGTCTTTAAGGAAAAAACGAAGTCTAGAAAAAGCACTTTGGGGACAACCATCACCTGGATGGCTGAGAATTTCTACAGACTTTTAACCAGGTTATGCTTCGCTCCCTTAACCTGCTGTTCCCACATTCACACAGCACCTTAAAACTTTGAAGCATGGGGGGTGGGGGAAGCAGATGCCCACTCTTGAGGGGGTGGCATCATGCCAAATGAGCTGGTTTTTTTCTTCCCAGGTGTGACTTCTGGCTGCCCAAATCTTGTCCTTTCCTGCTCTGATGTGTCTTTTCACTGGACTGGGTGGGTGGGTTGTGTCTTCACAAACAGGTATTTTTTATTCAGGACAAACAGGTATTTTTTATTTAGATTTGGAAGGTGGCTTACAGAGTTAAGAAGACAAACACCTGAACAAAATTATCCATTGTGTTGCAAAAGAACGTAAGGGCTCAGCTTGTGTCAGCCCTTTGAGGTAGTGCAGATAAGAAATGCCAATCCTGAATACTAACACTTCATTAGAAGAATTATAGTAACACACTTTTCAAGTCTGAAAGTATCTCTCCCTCCCTTACTTTTATTCTCCTGAAAACTTGGGAAGGTCCCTCCCCTGACTCAGTTTTTGTTTATCAGACTGTTGTCTAGGCTGCAGCTCTTCCTCCTGTCTCTCAAAATCATTCCCACATAAAATTAAAACACCAATCCAAACTTTCAGGCAAAGCTATGCTTTCAAAGTCTTTTGAAACGTTTGTAAGGGGGGTGGGACTGCAAATCTCCATGGGAGGGGGGGATGCTATTCCTGAGGTCAGACACTTTGAAAAAGAAGACATGCTCCTGAGGTCCCACTACTAAATGACATTAATTGACCCAGGAACACCTGCATTTTACTTGATCTTGCCAAGACCACTTATGATCTTCCTCAAATAAATAGGGCATATGTCACAAAAAGCTCTATGGGTGATAACCAGCCCCTTGAATTGCAGTCAGAAGCCAAATAGCAACCAGTATAGTTCGCACAGCAGTGATAATATATAGGCATGTTAAGTTGTGCCCATTGTTGCCCATCCCACTGTTTTATACCAGCTGTAGCTTATGGGTGGTCTTCAAGTGCAGTTCATGCAGAGTGCATTGCAGTAGTCCAATCATGAGATGACTACTAGGACATGAGCAGAGGTGGCATTCAGCAGGTTCTCACAGTTCTGGAGAACCGGTATGGAAATTTTGAGTAGTTCAGAGAACCAGCAAATACCACCTCTGACTGGAGATTTTACGGTATCCTTCCCCTGTCACGCCTACCAGCCACGCCCACAGAACCGGCAGTAAAAAAATTTGAATCCCACCACTGGACATGAGTGATTCTCCAAAGGGCCTCTATAGGTTGAAGGAAGGGTGCAACTGGTACACAAGATACAAAGGCCTTCCTGGCCACAGCTGTCACCTTCTCTTCAAGCTGTAGTTATGAGACTGGGATGAATCCCCCTCACACCTATCAAGTTGTGTACTAGTCTCAGATGGGAAAGCCATCTAAATCCAAAGGAGAAAGAATGCTAGATCCAGAAGAACCAAAATAAACACAACCAGAGGTGATATTCAGCAGGTTCTGACCAGTTCTGGAAAACCGGTAGTGGAAATTTTGAGTAGTTCGGAGAACCGGAAAATATCACCTCTGACTGGAGATTTTACAGTATCCTTCCCCTGCCACGCCCACCAAGCCCACGCCCACAGAACCGGTATTAAAAAAAATTGAATCCCACCATGGACACACCCACTTGGCCTATTCCTTATCCAGACCCAAACAGCCTCTAGACGCTGGGCCAGGACATCAACAGCACTTCCTGGATGATCCGAATTAATTGGCATCATTGGAATGGTGATAACATCGGACCCTAAACCAACAGATGACCTCGCACATGTAGATTCCATGTAGATGTTAAACAGGAGGGGCAAAAACTTTAAGCTGTGAAGCAATGGACAGAACTTTCTCCCATTGTTCCATCAACATTAATTGGAACTGACCATAGAGAAAGGAGAACCACCTCCACCACGATACAGTGCCTCCCAGTCCCAAACCCTGTGGTTGGTCCGGAAGGTTGACAATATCAGAAGCCAATGAGAGATGAAGTAGCACAAGAATGGACACCTATCCCCCATCCCAGCTTTGCCAAAAGCCACCAACAGAGGTTATGATTTTAAAGAAAACTATTCATTTCATTTCTGGAGTGATAATTATGGGTTTATTTCTATATTTCAGAATAAAATTGGATAGGAAAAGGAAGGTGTCACCATGTGTTTTTTTACATTCCATCAAAAGCATCTACCCACAAAACAGTGGGAAGTGCAGGCTATTTTTACATTGTCCATTTTCCCCCAGATTGCAAGAGAATGACATCAGTAGACAATACAGCTAAGGACAAATACTGAAAACCTTAAAACACAGATATTGTAGCATGTACTGATGGAATCTTCTTACTAGTAGTATAACTTCTTTTAATAGAGTTTACATATCAGTCATTTTTAATGTAAGCTCATGCAAACAGTCAACTCAGGAAAGGGTAATCCATCCTTTAATAAAGTAATGTTTATGTTCACATGATTTACTAGGCCTATATTTAAACAAACTATTATCTTGGCTTGCGCAACCTTTTCTGAACGATAAACTAACCAGATGGACTTGATTTCCAAAGCATGTTAGGCTAAAATATGATGAGTTGATTTGTGTTCTTTATGAATTGAGAAAATGAAAGTTCTTGTTTGTTACAGATGTCTGCACATAATGGCCTTGATACCTCTATGCAATCTGAAACTCACAGAGAGAATCTTGAACCTTTGAAGTGACTGAGTCCTTAAGAAAGAAAAAACAAATACATTTGTTATAAAAAATACATTTGAGTTTTAAAATACATGTGTTGTGTCTCCTGTCTGCTTTCTCTCCTCTATTGACAACTGCAGAAATAATGTGGAATGGTATATGTAACACCAGTCTTTCTATTGCCCCCTCAAGAGGATGTGGGAATGGAACATTCTCTGGTTGTGTTACCAAAACACATTAAGTCATCTATTAGTCACATTTTAAGTCTAATATGCTGTTAGACTGGAAGTGTCTTTAGCATGGATTTTAAATCTAAAGAAAATACTACATGCTCTTTTTTTGTTTTCCTTGTTAAAAACAATGGTGGTGAATCTTCCTTTTCTTTCATTGTAATTTGATGCTGAAATTCACTGATGCAATATCAAGGAACCTTATGAAAGTTTGATCTTCTCCTTATTAGAAAATATCCATCATACTTATCTTTTAACTGGATGGGAGGCAATAAGAATTTTTCACTAGGAAATTTTTAAAAATACCAAGAAGGCAATAGTAAACCAATTTCATATTCTTGCCTAGAATGCAATACTGTCTTTCCCCCTTTTAAAGCAGCGAGATATTTCTATCAAATAGGTGTCCCCCAAATTTGAAGGGCATTAACCTTAGTGCACTGCAATGCGCTTTCCGCAGCAGTTTTGAGGGCTGATACAAAAAAACACAAAAAAAACCCCAACCATATAAACTGCCCCAGAGGACAAGAGGCCATTCAGATTAAAGTTCACATCCTATTATACTGCATCTTCTATAAGGACTCATGGACTCAAATATATAACATGTTACCTAATAAAATATATGGGGAATACTGATCTCTTCTACATTCAGCTACTGTTATCGGATCAGTAAAAAGTAGTTTCTCTGAATGTGACCAGATTCTGTTATGGTGTATGCAAAATTAGACTGTAACTGCCCGATGCTAATCCATCACCAATTTAATATATTATTTAAATGTCTTTTTTTTTTGCAGTCATCTGTCTGACTGATATTCTTCACTACCACCACAAAAAAGCTCATAAAATTGGATGTAGTCACGTGGTGACATATGTTACAACTGTAACTTCAAGCTTAGTTATGGTTGTAAGTTGAGGACTTTTTTTGTGTGTGCCAATATTACCTATTTGATACAGATCAACCTAAATTGTAGAAATAACTCCAAAGGCTTCATTTTAAAGTTGAAGAATCTTTATTCATCATCATCTTTGATCTTAGACAACAAAAAAATGCAGTTCTTGTCTTTCCTCTCTCCCTTCCTATCTTCCTCCTCCCTCAAGTGCTGCTGTTCACAGGATTGAGTGTTTTTCCAGTGAGACCGGTCTATCGGGGCAACCTGGTTTACCCAAATATGGGTGGGAACACACTGCTTCCGCTTTTGCCTTTCAGGCCCAATCCAGGAGCCTTCGCAGGCAGTCGCTTCTGCAACAAACTATTTTGTGTTACGTTTAAATTTGCGGAGAAATAAATAAAAGGAGACTAGCATAGCTATTTCAAGCTGTTTAGCTCATCGGCTAG